ATAGAGGTTTAACTTCCTACATCCACCGCCTAGTAAGACTTCAAACCAGCCATATGATTCTCAGTTTATTACCTGTTACAACCTACAAATTCTAACAAAATTTGTTTAAGTTGCATAGGAAAATACTATCTTGTTGACGTGACATATGCAAACAATGATTATTTTCTTGCTCCGTATAGAGGTGAGACTTACCACTTGCCTGACTACTAAAGGAGAAGTGGTGGATTTAAGGGACCTAGAGATATTTTTAACTTCAAACTCTCATCCTTGTGAAATTGTGTAGAGCGAACATTTGGTGTTTGGAATGCTAGATTCCCTATCCTAAGGTGGCCCAATAATACTTATCCAATGAATAAACAAGTCAAGATTCCAGTGGCATGTGCAATCTTACATAATTTTATTCACATGGTAAATGAGGGGGGCCCGCTTCTAAATCAATACTATCGTGATGGAGTACCAGTTAGTGAAATAGATCCAACCAATAGTGATGAATTTGATGACGATGACAATGATGGTAATGTCCTTGAAGGGCTAGTTGTAACAGGAGGTAGTGTTAGTCGTACAGATATGGGTCGTTTTAGGGATCGCCTTGCGAATGAAATGTGGGTGGAATACCAGGGAAGCCGTGGGAGAGAAGTTTGATATAAGCTTGGCTTGTTATATAATTTCATTCACATTTTTTCCATTTATTTCGTAGTTAGCTTGTTATAATTTTGAGTTATAATTATTTGTATAATTTTTTTCTAGTACTTCATTTTTTTAATTATATAACGAATTATATTTTTTTAAATTACACGTAATGAATTATATTTATTATATAATTTTTTAAATTACATTTATTTTGGTCATGATTCAAATTCAGAAAACAAGACAACCAAACGCTGGTTCGAATCACATTTCAGGTTAGAATCAGAATCATGCATATACACATCCAGACGAAGGTTCTAATAACTCTGAATCATGATTCAAATAATGAATCATGATTCTGAATCAAATGACTCAAATCACCCTGATTTTAATTCTTATACCAAACGGACCATAAAGAATGGGCATTTATAGTGAGACCTACGTGGGTCCCATCAAATTTTCTCTATTATTACTGGATTGATCCTTGAGCTTTTGAGGATTGCGCTATTATTACAAGATGTTATAAGCAACTTGAGGCAACGCGGTTTTCTTTTTTAATTTTGCGCAAGTGTTTATGTTTTTTTTTCTTGAATAAAGGTTAGCAATTTGTGTTGATAAAAAGGTTAAATTTGTGTTGTAATAAATTTTAATATATTATTCTTACAGTAATTATATATATTGTTCTTTTTGTATTAACTATATTATCAATATTATTGCTAACAAAAAGGAGCTTTTGAGGATTGCGCTATTATTACAAGATGTTATAAGTAACTTGCGTCAACGTGATTTTCTTTATTAATTTTGCGCAAGTATTTATGCTTTTTTTTTTCCTGAATAAAGGCCAGTAATTTGTGTTGGTAGAAAGGTTAAAGCCCCGTTTTTTTCGCTGATTCGAGTTTAGAATTTGAGTTTTGTTACAGTAAAAAGCTCTCAGAAACAGTCACATTTAATTTTTTTACTACAGTAAAAAACTCTCACACAATATCACATTTTAACTCGAATTAAAAATTTAAATTAGTGAACCGAACGGACCCTAAATTTATATGGTAACAAATCTTAATATATTGTTCTTGCAGCAATTTTATTTATATTATTCTTCTTTATATTATGCATAGTATCCATATTATTGTTAATAAAAAGGAGCTGTGCGTATTGTATTTTTTTTTTTTTCCTGAATCTACGTATTGTGTAATGTTAAAAAGAGCAAGAGCAATCCTATAGGAGGATTTTATCCCAGTCAAAAATCAAATACAGATGGTGGGCCTTTCTAGTGAGGCCTACGTGGGTCCCATCAAATTTTTTCTATTATTACTGAATGGATCCTTCAGTTTTTGAGGATTGCGCTATTATTATAAGATGTTATAAGCAACTTGAGGCAACGTGATTTTCTTTTTTAGTTTTGCGCAAGTATTTATTGCTTTTATTTTTTCCTGAATAAAGGCCAGTATCATTATTGGCCATATGCCTCCTCTCCACGGACCACGGTATTTTTCGCCCAAAAAAATATTAAAGCAACTGTTGGAGGCGGTTAATGGTTCTTACAGTATATTTTTAAATATTTAATGGCTTTTTGGTTCGTAGGGAAAAATAAAAAAATTTGAATAAAAATTTAAATTTTATCAGAAAAAATACTACAGAAAAAAAGTTTAAATAATAGCTCAGATTTTAAAACAAACAGGCTATAAGCATGGCCCACATTGTGGCTAGCCTTGCTTTCTCCATAGCATATCTTCATATGAAAGTTGTGATTGCATTTCAAGAACTTTATCAGCTTTGAATTTGCATTCATTTAACCAATTAAACTTCATTCTTTTCCTCGAGGAAAAAAAAGAAGTATTAAGTAGTGCAACTAGATTCTCACATATTTTTCAACCTAAAGCTATTTTAAATTTGTCAATGACAATAATCTATAGGGTTTGTAATCAGTTTAATCAATTTTCAACATTTTTCTTGGTTGAACTGAGCACGAGATTTTTTGGTTTGCTAGGACTCAAACTGACTGAGCATATGAGAAACAATCGGTTTTGGTTTCGGTTTCGGATTCAGTTTCGGTTTCAGTTTCGGTTGGTCAGGTTTGATGCTTTGATGGGATGCAAAATGCAATGCAGGTACAATAATGTAGACTGGCTAAATGCGTAAGAAAAATGCGAATCAAACACCAACAGTGAGAAAATGCATTGCAAAACATATCATGTATAAAGAACAAATATAAGAGAACCACATAACTCGTAAGCTTTCAAAGCTGTCCATAAGTCCATCCATCTATAACCAAATTATAAACTCAATAAATCGATGAAAACATTCATGAATAAATCTGAAAGACAGACAAGCAATGCAAATGACCATTGCATACAAAGTCAATAGTCCATAAAACAACAACATAACACATAATAAAAATATTAAAAAGTCCTAAAACTGAGACTGATTTTCCTGCCAATTTGCTAAATGAGAGAAGTCGTTCCTATTTTTGGACAATAATAACATTTGACATATTTAACATTTTACAAGAATAGCTATAACAGTCATTAATAAATAATATCAGACAATAACCAAACAGAACAACAATATGAGGAATCAAATATTAACAAAGAAAAATTAAGAGAAAATACCCGAGCTCAACTACTTCCTTCCCCATAAACAGAATTAGAAATAAAACAAAGTTATCCCAAACACAAAAAACACACATAATTAAAAGTGGTCACCAAACTTGCCTGTCATTACTTTGTACTAATTTTAACGCGGAGAAATTTGAACTGTTCCTCTCAACATTAAAAGCTGAAGCCCAGATTTACCTCAAAGCGCAACCATATTTAACGAGTAGTATACGAAATATTAATGCCGCAAAAGATCCAACCCTACTATCAGTAGTACTACACCTCTTGGGCGGGCACATATCCGCCGCCGACAACTAGATTTTAATTTGTGAGAATTCTGAATCCTCCACCGCCAAAAACACGACTGCGTCGGCCACATTCTTTCCTCCCATCACTCCATTTAACCTTGATCCAGTCCACCTCCTTTCCAAGCGCGAACATTTCCCTTAGCATCGGCGTCCACAGCCCCTGGCAACACCGCATTCACCCGAATGCCATGCCCTGCCAACTGCAGGCTCACCGTGCTCATCAACTTAAGTACTAATGACAATTAATAAAATTAGATTCTCATCACGCTACGTTATTAAATTCCTATATTAAGAGGTGACTACCGATAAAAATGTTGTTCTGTGAGAAAATATACGTTGACACGTTGGATGACGACCATGCTCCACGTGACTCAAAACCCGTCACGTCAGGTATCCGTCGACGCCTAAAGCTCACTTTCCCCCGCCATCTGGTGAAAAGGCCGACCGTATGAGACGATTCGTACAATTGTCGAGCCTACATACAGTCGAGGCTTGCGTGATTTGTTCGCAGCAGAAGCGGTACCACGAGGGGGTTGATCGAGACAGAGGTCGCGCCCAGTGAAGTATAGTATAGGCGCAGAGGGCAGAACACATGAATATTAGTACATGTCCTAAGAAAGACCTTTGAGGTGACAAGGGGGAAATCCTTAGGTTACGTCTGGGTTTAGAGAAGGTCAGTGCACCGGAAATGATTACTTGTTCATAAACTGCCTGGAACGGACCAATGAAAATTACAGAGGATCCGCAGAGCCGGAATAGTAGACAAAGTGGGTGAGTGAACAGTCCAAAAGGTGTTGAGAAGCTACGGTCTGGGCAGGTAGGATAATAGGCTACTTGAGAGAAACCATCAGGGAACCCCCAGTGACGGTCCGCCCTAAAGAGACCCATATATAATCTGTAGGCTATAAAAAGGCAAGGCCCCAGAGAGAAAAGAGAGAGCTTTTTGTAATCTTAAAAGCACAAAAAGAAAAATACAAGAACCAGTGGATGTAGCTCTTTTTTGATAGAGTGAACCACTATAAATCCGTGTGTCTTTTTACTTTCATTTTAATGACAAATCGATACATTATTCAATACATCTCCAAAACAAACACAATCAGTTGCATAAATTTGAGAATATAACAAGTTTTGGCCGGTAACCCAACGGACCACCAAGAGGTAATTCGGCGCAATCTTGTTGACGAAATTCCACCGTCAATAAATGTAATCATTAAAAACTTGTCCATATATATGTATATATATTCATATTACTCTACATTAACATTCCATATATTATTGATCACACAAGTATTCAAACGTCCAAGTAAAAATAAAAAATAATAAAAAAACAAAATTTTTAATTACAAACTAATTAGAAGCAATTAGGACAAAATTAAGAGTAAGCAAAGAAAGAACTGTAAAAAATTAAGTCAGTAACATTATTAAGATACAAATCCAAACATATATAATTCCATATATAGATCATGAATAACTACATTATATTACCACTATCGACAGCCAGATCATGCCCCGTCATAAACTCTGAGTCCTCCGACGCCAAAAACACCACCGTATCAACCACATTTTTTGCCTTCATAGTCCCCTTCATGCGCGAAAACCATTCCACCACCTCATCCAGCTCCACCTCCTCCCCGATCCCCAGCATCGCCCGCAGCAGCGGCGTCCCGACCCCTCCCGGTGACATGCTATTCACCCGAATCCTATGCTTCGCCAGCTGCAGGCTCGCCGACCGCACCAGCCCTAGAAACGCGTGCTTCGACATCACGTAGTCCGTGAACCTCTCCATCCCTACTCTCATCACCGCGCTCACCGTGCAAACCACGCTCCCGCCCTTCACCCCTCCCTCCACCATCGCTCGCGCCGCGTGCTTCACACACGCTGCCATGCTGCGCACGTTCATGGCCAAAAGCCTCTCGAAAGCGGAGAAGTCGAGGTCTAGGACTGTCTGATCGGAGGCACTGGGGATGCCAGCGTTGCTGAATATGACGTCGAGGCGTCCGTACTTCCGTACGGCGGATTCGACTAGGATTTTGACTTGCTCCTCGTCTGTAATGTCGCAGTGGACGTAGCTGCAGCGCTCGGGGCCGATTGAAATGGTGACGTTTTGGCCCTTCTCATCCTGGACGTCGGCAATCACAATAGCCCGCGCACCGTGAGTCGTGAAGCTTCGAGCGGTGGCCTCGCCAATGCCGCTGGCACCGCCGGTGACGATAGCTACTTTATGTGGGAAAATTCACATCGACACGTCGGACAACGATCATGCCACAAGTGGCCCCATGCCTGCCACGTCAATTAGCCCTCGACGCTCGAGCCTAATTGGTCTCTCCCGTATGGCATGAGAGCCGAATGTATAAGGGTACTAAGACCATCGACTCTATACAGAGTCGAGCCCTGCAAGAACAGCTCGTGCAAAATAACGTGATAAAGTCGGTCGTGAGAGAGGCTACCCTTGGCAGATTTTGGCGTGGGCGCAGAGGGCAGAACGCGAGCAACTGGACCCACATCCCAAGGAAGACCCCTGAGGAGATCAGCTGAATATCCCAAGGTTGCGTTTGGGTTTGGAAAAGGTTAGTTGCAAAGGAAATGATTACAAGCCCCTAAAACCGCCTGGAACGGATCACTAGCTATTATAGGGGATCTATAGAGCCATAATGGGGGGACAAATTGGATGAGTGAATAGTCCAAAAGGAAATGACAGGTTATGGTCTAAACAAATGAGGCCATAGGCCACTCGTGTGGATGGGCCTCATGAAAGACACGGTCAAATGGTCCAAACCGCCTACCATTGGGCAAAGGTTCATGTAATATCCACTATAAATGGGGAAGAGCCCCCGTGAGAGGCTCTGGGAATTTTTTGGCATATGTAATTTGTAAGAACTAAAATAAGAGAAATACAATACAGTGGATGTAGCTCTTTTTGAGATGGGTGAACCACTATAAAATCTCTCCGTCTTTATTTTCACAAGGGACATAACGATTTCTTTTCATAATACACCAATACAAACTCTAGCAAATCCAGTAAAATCACAAGTTTCAAACTGGTAACCCAATGGGCTACCGCGGGGTAATCATGTAAGGGCTTGTTGACGAAAATTGACTGTCAACAATTGGCGACTTCGCTGGGGACCGAACCCAGAATCTCTGGTTCATGCGTTCAACCCCGGACAACAAACGATCATGCCTCCGAGAAGAAAAATGGTGCTTCAAACCCAAACAGCAAAATGGAGGAAAATACCACGCATCCAACCAACAGTGGGAGTGGGAGGAATCACCCCGACCAGGGGAATCAACCCCCGTGAGGGATGAAGCTCCACCCACAGGCACGCCACAGCTTGACTCAGTACAGATGTAGGCCTAGCTGAACACTCTGACCCACTTGGTTCGAGGACTAACAATCGTTGTCGAGCGATTGGAAGGAAGAAATTATATGCTTCTCTTGGAAGATGCCCCGAGACCACCAGGAGATGCCATGGCTGGGAACCAGGATGCTGGTGACCGCCAGGGTGCCCCGGAAGGGATCGGGGACAGTGAAAACGCCAGGGGAGATAACCTGAGACCTCAACCGTCCAAGTCCCTTGGTAGCCAACAAAGGGCCGCCACGCGACGAACCCAGGAGAGAAAAGTGCTCGTCGGCCTGGAAAACCTTGAGGCGCCACCTCGGAACCTAAGAAAGAATATCCCAGGAGATTCAGGGTCGGTGCAAAAAGGTAGAGACCTGAAGGATAAGCTAAATACGAAGACGGCATGAGCCTCGAAAGGGGTCAGCTCTGCAATCTCTACGGAAGAGGCTAAAGCCATTATAGAGCGTGTGACGAGCCTAGAAGAAAAGTTCACAGGTGACGTCACCGGTTTAAAGAAAGACGTCATAAGCCAGGTGAGCCACCTACAAAAGAACCTTGGACAGGTGGCGGAGGTAGTCAACATCGACATCACTCTTAGCCGAACTCACGACCACCCTTTTACCGCAGAGATCATGGCGCCCCCTTTACTTAACAAATGCAAGTCCCCGACTATCCCACCATACGATGGCAGAGGGGATCCCGACTACCACCTGGAAATATACACATGGCACATGCTTCTGCATGGATATGCGGAGGAGATAATGTGCCGAGCATTCTGGAACCACTTGACGAACTCTGCCCGAAGATGGTTCCGGACACTCAACCCATAGTGCATCTCCAGCTGGGAAAAGCTGAAGGAAGCCTTCTTCCTTCAGTTCCTTGGGGTAAATAAGTATATCCCGCCGAAGCAAAACCTAACAATGGTATACCAAAAACCAAACGAGTCATTAAAAGAATGGCTTGTAAGCTATGGGGAAGCCGTCACCGCTACAATGGATATGACAAACTGGGAGGCTCTGATGGGGGCCCTGTCCAGCATGAAAAAGACCACACCGTTTAAGCGCGACCTGAACCGAAAGCCCCCGGCCACCTATAAAGAGTTTTTGGCAGGGTCACAAGGGTATATCAACGCTGAGGAAGCTGACGCAAACGATCCTGAGCACAGGTCCAATAAAAACAAAGGACCAGAATAGAGGTCGACCTTGGGGAAGCAAGATAATAAAAAATGACGAGGCAGGGGAAACGGAGATAAGCAGACCGCGTCGGCGCCAAACCCTTTGGAGACAAAGAAGCCGAGGCAAGAGGAAAATCGAAAGCCTCAGCCATTCCAACGGTACGACTCCTACCACGAGCTTATTGTAGGCATCGAAGAAGTATACAATTAGGTCGGACGAGGAAACTTATTACGCCGACCGGAACCAATAAAGTTGGACCCAAACCGAATGAATCAGAGCAAGTATTGCCGGTTCCACGGTGACGTCGGCCACAACACCAATGACTGCACCGACCTAAATGATGAAATCAAAAGGTTAATCCGTGAGGGGAGGCTGCAAGAGTTTAAGGCTGAAAGGCGAGGTAATGGTCCCAGAAATGATGGTCAACGCCAGGAGGAGAATCGGCGAGGGGAAGATCGTGAGCCGGTCGGCGTCATAAGGACCATACACAAAGGACCGTATCTCGGGGGAGATTCCAGGAAGTTCCAAAAAAGTTATGCCCACGAAGCGAGAGGGTATACCAGGAGAGGTTTTGGACTCTCTCCACCGCCAAGACAACCAAATTTGGTGGCGCAACGTGGCATTCACCGAGGAGGATGCAAACGGAGTCCATTTCCCCTACAACGACACCTTGGTGGTATAGGCAATTATTGGGAACCACACCTTATGCAGGATCCTGGTGGACAACGGGAGCTCGGTGGACATTTTATACTCTGACTGCTTAGAAAAAATGGGGATTCCCAATGAGCAATTAGAGAAAACGTCCTGGCCATTGTATGGGTTCATGGGGGACTCAGTCATCCCCCAAGGGATGATCCGGCTGCCGATAAGCACGAGAGAGAAACCCAGGCAGGCAACCACAATGGCAAATTTTGTGGTGATCAAGGGAGGCTCACAATATAACACTGTAATCGGAAGGCTGACCCTTCAAGCCCTAAAGGCGATAACCTCCATTTATCACCAAAAGGTCAAGTTTCCAATACCCAATGGCGTAGGGGAAATAAAAAGTAACAAATATGAGTCTAGAGTAGCGTACTCGGATGCCATACGCGGGTACGATCAGCTGGGAAACAATAGGCGAGAATGGTACAACACGGACCAGTTGAGGACATAGACCCTAGGGTTACGGAAGAATCATGGTCCCAACCAATCGAGCAGCTGGTGGAAGTCCAGGTGGATCAGCGGGAACCGACGAGGGTATTGAAGATATGGTCGGATCTGCCGTCGGCACTCAGAATCGAGGTCGAGAAATTCCTGAAGAAGAATCTGGATGTGTTCGCTTGGACACATGCAGACATGGAAGGCATCGACTCCCAAGTTATGTGTCATCCTCTGAACGTCGACCCCACTTACCCCCCAAAATGTCAAAAACGCCGATTGATGAATCTAGAAAGGTACGAGGCTTTAAAGGAAGAGGTCGACAAACTCATCAATAACAGCTTCATTAGGGAGGCTCACTACCCCAAATGGGTTTCAAACCCTGTCCTGGTAATCAAATCTAATGGGATGTGGAGAACGTGTGTCGAATTCAGCGATCTCAACAAAGCCTGCCCAAAAGATGATTTCCCACTTCCCCGAATAGATCAGATGGTCGACGTCATTGTTGGGCACGAGTTGTTAAGTTTCATGGATGCCTACTCCAGCTATAACTAAATTCTAATGCATCCATCTGATGAAGAGCATACGTCGTTCAGAACAGACAGTGGCCTCTATTGCTACAAGGTAATGCCCTTTGGCTTGAAGAACGCAGGGGCAACGTACCAAAGGCTAGTAAACAAGATGTTTGCTAAACAAATCAGAAGAACGATAGAGGTGTATGTCGATGATATGCTGGTGAAAAGCATCAAGGCAAGATAGCACGACGACCATTTGGGCGAAATGTTTAATGTGTTAAGGAAATACCGCATGAAGCTAATGTTGGTCTCCGAATCGAATTCGGATGCGGAAGCGTGGGGGGAGGCGGATCGTGTATAACAAAAATTTTCATAAAACCTTTGAGATACTCTATAGATTATATTAATTTATGCACGAATAAATTAATCTCATTAATTCATTTATTAAGAACTCAATTAGGAAAAATACCTGGAGGGCGACTCGGTTGATAACTTGAGTTCTTTGACCTCGAACAATCCTTCTCCAAAGCTTTGTATTTAGAAAACCAATGTCTTCCACGTCAATTCCTAGAATCCACGAAGACGTGTGTGTGGGCACACATGAGACAAAACGGGTTACAATAAACACTCGAATTTCCACAAACACCAACACATGCACGATGTGGAATTTTTAGAGAAAATTTTTTTCCTTCTCTTTATTAGGGGAATTTCAGCCAGCCTTAACAATTAGGGCTGAATTCGTTTTTGAGAATTGTATCAAAAATTGTGTCTCATAAAATTGTTTTCACAATTTTCTACTATTCTCTTATTTATAAAGTAGAAGTCAAACTTCTAGAAGGAATCCAATCTCTATCTCCAAGATAAAGCTTGTCAATTATCTCCTATTTAAATTTTGAACAAAATCTCCTCTTTTCCTTTCTCCTTTATGGCCGGCCATTCTAAGGGGATTTTATCCCTGTGTAGGCGCCAATATCAGATAGGGAAGGAAGAGAAAAATCATCTTTTATCCTGTAGTCCAATTTTAACTCCAATTCAAATTCCAATTTAAGTCAAACTTAAATTAATTTGAATTCTAAATTGAACAACTTATCAAATAAGTTTAAATGGATAAATCTTGATGTGTTCAAATTCAAATTTAAATAATCACATTATTTAAATAATAATTAATTCTCAATTAATTATTTTCGAGTGTTTAATTTTAGAATTCCGTAATTCTAAAATTCTCATTTTGCCCTTTGTGTCTGGTAGAATTACTACGACGATGCGATGACTAATGGACCTATAATCCCAAGCTCCATTAAAATTAATAATTAATTAAACACTTTAATTAATTAATTAATTCTATTAATTCCAATAGTTACTCCACTATAAACTTGGAATTGCACTCTCGAAATTATAGACATAAATTACTTCTAAACTGTGAAGTGTCCATTTGATATAGTCATTGCATATAGATCAATCCT